GGTCTGTCTCTTATACACATCTAGATGTGTATAAGAGACAGATATCGGACACCGGGCGAAGGCAGGCACGAAGAGCAGCAAGACATGCTGGAACTTATCCCAAGAGGCTGGACTCTTGCAAGCCGATGAGATTTTTGAGGGCCGTCTGGATAGGTGGGAGGTGGTCATACTGGACTGTCGGTCGGTCGCTCTATCAAAAGACAACGACAGAGCGCGCTGGGAGTCTGGATTTCGAAACCACAGTCCGGGGATGCACGTTGCGCATACTTTGTCTTGAGAAATTTGCCAAATTAAAGCAGCATTCTTCGTTCTTCGCAAAGCAACGTTGGTGCGCGGCTCGCCAGCAGAGCAGAGTGGGCAGCAACACATGGAACAGCTCGGGTGAGACTAAAATTAAAATACAACAAAATACTAGGCTACCAGAGCGGCCCAGGGTCTGTCTCTTATACACATCTAGATGTGTATAAGAGACAGATATCGGACACCGGGCGAAGGCAGGCACGAAGAGCAGCAAGACATGCTGGAACTTATCCCAAGAGGCTGGACTCTTGCAAGCCGATGAGATTTTTGAGGGCCGTCTGGATAGGTGGGAGGTGGTCATACTGGACTGTCGGTCGGTCGCTCTATCAAAAGACAACGACAGAGCGCGCTGGGAGTCTGGATTTCGAAACCACAGTCCGGGGATGCACGTTGCGCATACTTTGTCTTGAGAAATTTGCCAAATTAAAGCAGCATTCTTCGTTCTTCGCAAAGCAACGTTGGTGCGCGGCTCGCCAGCAGAGCAGAGTGGGCAGCAACACATGGAACAGCTCGGGTGAGACTAAAATTAAAATACAACAAAATACTAGGCTACCAGAGCGGCCCAGGGTCTGTCTCTTATACACATCTAGATGTGTATAAGAGACAGATATCGGACACCGGGCGAAGGCAGGCACGAAGAGCAGCAAGACATGCTGGAACTTATCCCAAGAGGCTGGACTCTTGCAAGCCGATGAGATTTTTGAGGGCCGTCTGGATAGGTGGGAGGTGGTCATACTGGACTGTCGGTCGGTCGCTCTATCAAAAGACAACGACAGAGCGCGCTGGGAGTCTGGATTTCGAAACCACAGTCCGGGGATGCACGTTGCGCATACTTTGTCTTGAGAAATTTGCCAAATTAAAGCAGCATTCTTCGTTCTTCGCAAAGCAACGTTGGTGCGCGGCTCGCCAGCAGAGCAGAGTGGGCAGCAACACATGGAACAGCTCGGGTGAGACTAAAATTAAAATACAACAAAATACTAGGCTACCAGAGCGGCCCAGGGTCACTTGCCCGTCCGGGCCAAAAACAATAAAATAAACAAATTATTTTTAAGATTTATTTTTAATTCTACATTGGGTGAAGAATATATATATATATTTTAACAAAACAACCGGGAACCGGGCGCGGTGTCCCTTATAATTCGGTGCCAGAAATCGGGCCTGCCGTTGCGGTCCTGATTTAGGGCGAGACATCACCGGTCCAGCCCAAAAACTGGACTGCTACACACTACAAACCCTGTGCACAAAAATACCACCGAAGAAATCAAACCAACCAATGTCTCTCCCTCTCTCTCACTCTATATATATGTGTGTCTGTATATGTGTATATATATGTGTATATATATGTGTACATATGTGCCTCTAGTGCCAGCGGCGTGTCTGGAGTGTATTTTTTGGCTGTGACAGACCTTTCTTTGTTTCTTGGGTGTTTTGCTGGCTTGTGATGGGGTGTGAACCGACAGTCTGTAGAGTTTTCCATCTGGTGTGGGTGAGTGATAGTCTACTTTGATTTTGGTTAAGGTGGATTATCACTTACAGTGTAATCAGTGAGGGGATTCTACAG